AAGGATCCCCCCCCTCGCCATACGTGAATGTATGCTATGAGAGCCCTTTGACGCCGCCACCTACAGTTAGTCAGCCTGTAAGTATCAAAAATGTATAAACCAGAAGGGTAAACTCTAGCCTTAGTACCTGTTTCCGGTGGTGATCAGGGACGCCGCCCCCGAGGGGGGCGAGAGGAAAAAAGGAGTGGGTGAAAATATCTTGTTGGGCATTCTCTCCCATTGTGCCCTCTTATGTGGGGTTTGGGTGGGGAGCTTTTGAGGGGCTTATATATAAATTGGCTTTTTCATATATTGTGAAAACAAGTCCCCCCCCCCCCCCCCCCCCCCCCGCGAGTCACCTTTTCCCCTCTGCCGTTGCGGGATCCAGTGCCATGTTCACACTGACTTTTGACGACGCAAAAAACACCTTTATCCCTCTGCTCGTTTTATGTTATGGCTGCTTCATTTGCTTCCATCCGTGAATGATCCTATTGCACCCTTTCCAGTAACCTGTTTCAATATTCCCCCTGGCTGTTTGCTTTGCTCATGTTTCTAGTTTTACGGTCTATGCAATTCCCTTCCATGATGTATGTACTACGCTCTTCTCCGTCTGCCGGGCCCTATGCCATTTCTCCAATAGCAGCATCATCGAGTCTTTTCTGTCCCACGGCTCTTATCATCATCATAGTAACCAGCGTCACTGACTAAGCGGTATCACGGAAACATACCGCCAAGACATTAGCACGGCATCTGATTGGCCCATCCGCGAAACCCCCCCCCTCTCTGGCCCGCGCCTTGCCGCATCCGGCCTAGCGGTACTGTCTTGGCGCGTCCCCGACGGTCCGCCGGCTTACCTCAGCCAGCGCACCCCAACATCATCGCTCGTTCTGATTAACAAACATTCCATTGTCTCGCTCGTCCAGGGCGTCAACTCGGCCTCTTTTGCCCCCAATTGCCAGTTCCATGGGTCGTCCAGACACGCTGTTTAGAGATTTCCCTTCCACCCACATCCAGCCCACAGAAAACACCCTCCTCCGTCGTCCCGCCTTGTCGGACCCAGTCCTGACGCGAAAACCGATCGCTACGTGATATCATCCCAACTGCTCGTCACCAGGAGAGAAACCCGGATCTTGGTCTTGCTCTGGAAACGTGCGACTCCTGCGACCACTCCATCTACGAAAAAATCACTCCGTCGCGCATTTTCGATTCGAAAATACCGTGCAAGGAACAATCGGTTTGGGGGTTAAAGTGGTTTCGAAATCGCGATAAGCAATCTCGTGTGTGTGCGCGTCGCAGCGTTGGAAAATAGTTACCAGCCTCCACGGAACCCGCCGCATGCTTTTCGCATTCTCACCCCCCAGCAAACGGACTTTTCCCCGACAACCACAACAAGTAGTGAATTTATTTTAAAAATTCAGCGAAATCTTCCCTTTCCCCCTTGCCTCTGTTTACAGTCGAAATATTATTAAACTCGGTCGGCAAGGTTTTTGAAAGGAAAAAAAAGAGTTTTTGCTGGTGGCAAGGCGACATCCAAATCAACAAAAACGCTGGTTTTAAAATCAACTTTGGTCCTCCTCCGAAGTGTTGCCTGTTCCACGCGCCAGATCTTATTGTCTCAGAATCACTTTTTCATCTCCCTTTAAATCCCAGTCCCGGCTGTTTTTTGAACTTGGGCTTTGTAAACCTTCTGTGCTTGACCTCTTGTCTCTGCACCACTTCTGCATCGATCTGATCTTTCAGGCTCTTGAAACAACGCCGAGAACAAACGCCGAGCAGGGTCTCACTCAATAGAGTCAATAAAGACAGCAAACATGCCGCCCTCTACCAAGAGGCGCAACCGGCGCAAGGATGTTTTGCATGAGTTGCCAGACACAGATGCCCTGGATTCATCGCCAAGTCGCCGCTCTGTGAAAAAGAGAAAGGTATGCTCGCTTCAACCCCCCCTTTGAACATGCTCCCAATGTGATGCTCTGGGGTCTCTATTAGCGTTCAGGTGCTGATCAAGGATCTTTATGTTAGGTTGAACACAAGCTAGAGCCAGAGCATGAAGACCTCAGTGAACTAGTTTCAGGAGATGAGAACGATGCCTCTTCCCATGAAAATGATATTTCTACTGGGCAAGACCTTGTGGATTCTGTGATTTCGTATCTCAGTGTAGCAAAAGAACCCGTGGCGGTGATGGATGAGCATTCAAATGCGAAAACAAGACAAGAGAACCAAGAGAGTGTCAAGGCCTATGCTAAGATAGCTGGGCGAGAGTGGACTTACTATGTCAAAAGCCTCCACGTGAACATTGGGCGGCCGCCAGACCGTGAACAGAAGCTTGATGCGCAGTCCAGCCCAGTTGCTGTAGCAGCACAGGCATTGCCTGAAGTTCATATTGATTTGGGACCCAACAAGGTCGTTTCGAGATTACATGCGGAGATTTATTACGACGGTACCGAAGAGCCTCCTTGCTGGCGTATTCGAGTCAATGGCCGGAACGGAGCTCGACTCAACAATTCGGTCTTGAAGCGCGGAACCAGCTCACAACTCAAATGCGGCGATGTCGTTGAGATTGCTAATACCCAAATGATGTTTGTCACTCCGGGCGACAGACCGGTGATCCATCCTTTCTTTATAAATAGGCTGCAAGGATTGCAAGCTATTGAAGAAACCGGTGCCTGGGACGCTACTTCACATGCTCACCCCGAGCCTGTCGTCGCCAGCCGGCCTATCCCATTTACATCTCATGGTCAGCAACGGGTTAGTGGCAGGAATGGAATTGGGCCAGCGCAAACCGCGCTTGTGACTCCATCCAAACGCCAGGCTACCCCTGCCAGTGCAAGGCCAAGGTCAAGAGGGGACGACACAGCTGTGAAACCTTCACCTCTGTATAACCGTGGTATGATGATGGAGAGCACCGAAGAGATTGACTACAGCAGCGATTCGGCCAAGGACTTGAAACCACCGTACAGCTACGCGACTCTCATAGGCCAGGCGATTTTCTCCTCCAAGGAAGAGAAGATGTCGCTCAGCAATATTTACAAATTTATCATGGAAAAATATGCCTTTTACAGGCATATCAACTCTGGGTGGCAGGTGAGTTCTTGTCTGCCTATCTACTTGCTCTTCTAGTGCGGAGTTGACAATTTATAGAATTCAATTCGCCATAATCTGTCCTTGAATAAAGCTTTTCAAAAAGTTCCTCGCCGGACTGATGAACCAGGGAAGGGCATGAAGTGGCAAATTGTCCCGGAATACCGTGAGGAGTATTGGAAAAAGGCCCATAAGGGTACACAGTCCTCAGCTCCCTCGTCGCCCATTGGAAAGGACAGTCCAAGTTTCAACAAAGGCAATGGCCAAAGTAGCTTTGAGCATCGCATTGAGAGCTCTCAGCCTGCTCCTAGTGCAAGAGCCCCACAGACAGGTTCGCCGGCGTACCATACATTCTCAGTCGCACCGGTTGAGGCTTATACGCCTGATCGTGGCTCCCGAAGTGGCCGTGATCGTGGACGGGACATTGACGGTACCAACCCTGCAGAGACCCCTATGCCAACGCGTCCACGAAATGGAGAAGGATCCCGGGCATACGGACTCTCCGACAATGTTGCTGGATCTCCACCAGTCCTGTCATCCTCTTACTACGATGATGCTGCGTCATCCATGATCACCCCAGCGCCACTTCGCCAACAGCCTCGTCTAGCCCCACCAAGCACCGCTCAGATTCCTTCCAAGTTCATGCCCATGAGTTCGCCAGCTCAGTTCTGGAAATTCGCAGATATTGGCAGTACCCCAGCCAGGCCGACCGACATTAGCCCTTTGAAGCCTGCTGGCGGTGATTCTGGTCGTTGGGATGGTGGGAGTGCGATTCCAAGTAGTAGCCCGCCGCCCCCGCATCTTGGGAGCCCGAGCAAGCCTGGCGGACCACAAGGGGCCCGCGGAAGGTTTGGTGCGAATGGAAATGAGAAGCGCAGGTGGGAAGACGATGAGGAGGAGGATGGAAATGAGGCAGAGGGATTTGACCTTGCACGGTATGTTAACGAGTGGATTTGGGTCCGATACTCACAGTATACTAACAATTTATACAGTGGTTTTCAACCTATAGGCTCTTACCATCGGCAAATGAGCAATGCTGCAAGAGCAAGCGCTAGCGCGTCAACTACTTGAGCTCTACGCCGCTTCAAGGCTTTTGCAAAACAATGACTGGCCACCCTACCGTTCGCTTTTATTGCTCGAAATCTATTAGCTATGTGCTGAAATTATCTTACCAATGTCCGCGATCCCAAGCGGCATTTCGATCTGACAACAAACACTTTATTCCGATTGCTTTGACTAAGATCTAGATCTCGGTTTTCAAGACTCCCTTTTTATCCTTTGCCTTGTAGCATTAGAGGATTTCGGAGACGTGTCTCAGCGAAATGATCGGTTTGTACCACCTGATTTTTTACTTTCTTGCTGTTGTTTTTATATATTATCCCTTTTAAAACACTTTTATCAGCTTCGTTTCTCCGCCATATTACTGAGAGCTTCGCTTCTGCTATGAATTCCACCGACACCCCCTACCGCTATTTGCCATGACTTTGTTTTCCCATTGAAATGACCTCGTCACGACTCTCGTTAATGCGTTTATGACCGTTGCACCTGCTTGTTACATCATGACTGATCCAGCGTGCTTTGCGCTATTTTTTACCGCACCCTTTTCTTGGACGGCGCACATTTCATGGGAAATATGGCGAATTTATCTCTTCGTGCTTTGCTTCTTGCTGCAGTTTTATGTACTATTGCGACGGGGGATGGCGTTTCGGGTACGGCAAAGGGGAAGGCCCCCGGTGTAAAAAAGAAAAGGAAGAAAATAGGTATGACTCGGATGTTCTTGTCTTTTCCGTTGTTTCAAGGCAGAGACTGGGGGGTGTGTACAGCTTCGAATCCGGTAGATAGAAATATAAGTCACTGGAAGGATATTTTTAAGCAAAGACCCTTTATTCGGATTGTTACCTGAGCTATCTAGTTACCGACTTGTGCTAAAAGGGTTATTTAGTTACCCAGTCCACTCGATCATATCCTTATGAAACGCATCAAATCCCCGAAGACACTGGCCCCAATTCCTCCTTTACAATCACCCATACCAAGCTAGTTCAGCCCTTCAAACGCACAGCCCCTTCGGAAGTCCCCCATCAACGTCCTCCTCGTCAACAACCCACTCGCCCTTGAATCCCAGAACCTTGTCCCACAACGCATACTCGTCACGGATCTTCGCCTTTGCCGTATCCCATCCACGCACGTCCTCCTCCCCATCCTCGGACAAACAATCATCAGGCTCCAGACGGGATCTGATGGCGATTCCAATCAGGGCTTGCATGGTATAATGCGCGTCGTTGCCTGCGTTGTGGAGATTCCAGGCGGTGACGTGCAGGTCCTGAAGGATGTTGCTGAGTGATCGCGGTTGCGCCTCGCGCTCGACGATTCGGTAGAGTTGAGCGGTGTCGAGGCTGTCGAGGAAATGGGGTTTTTTGTCGTCGTCATCGTTGGTGGTGGTGGTGGTGGTTTGGAGGATGGTGCATCCGAGTTTGGTCATGTAGTTGATGTCGGAGATGATGTTGTGACCGACGAGGATGATGTTGCGGCGAATGGGCTTGGAGATGAGAGTGAAGCGGTTAGCGGAGCTGTTGGGGGAGGTTGTGGCAGAGAGATCGGCTGGGAGGGCGACTCCGCCGTCTTCGTCGTCCTGGAATATGCGTCAGTTATTTGGAATAGGGGTTGTGATGAGGGGATCGGAGGACGTTACATACATCGCTCTGTGTAGATTCTTCAGCGTTGACAGGTCCTGTATCGACTCCGGCATAGGGGAGATTGCCTGCATAAGGGGGTTGGAAGCACGATTCAAGAACCGCAGCAGCATCTTTGATCGAGATCCATTCACTCTTCCCGAATTCAAACCGATCGGGACATCCAATGACGAAATCTTTGTTCGTGACATGCGCGTACTCAGAGATGCGGAAATGGCGGGTTTTGATTTTCTTCATCCAGTTGCAGCCATCAGCGCCGGGGGTGATGCCGACGAGGTCCAGGGTATCTAGAGTCGAGAGTCCAATCTCAATGATTTGATTGTGCGCCCTTTCATTCGATTCGATATCAACACAGATAAAAATAGGCTCGTCTGCAAAAGGGAAAGGAGCCTCTTCATGGAATTTCAACGGAAGAAGCGTTGCTGCGGCAGCCAAGGCTGGAGCATTAACGGCTGCCTCCTGATCTCCCGCAGAGATGGGGTCATTATGGGCAGTGGATATCTCACTGAACGGACTAGACGTGGCCGCAAGCCAAAGTAGCACTGCGTGCGCTTGAGAGTGCGGCACCAGACCTGAAGTCTCTGAGCTTGATCGCGTTGCTTCTTGGCTTTGGACACTTTGGACTTGCGGCGAAGGGCGTCAAAAGCAGACCCCATCTTTTGTTTGAAATTATCAAACGCGCGCTCAGCTTCAGGAGATGGCGCCGTTGGGCCTTCGTGGTTGCAGCGTCGGGGAGGGATGCTCCGCTCTAGCCTGCTCTTGACCTCGTTGCTGGCAGATCTTCCGAGGAACTGTGGCAGCGGAGTCCCGTCGTTTACAAAAGAAAGCAAAACACCCATCTCTTCCTGAGCGGGGATGGATGTCGCGCAGCCGAACTTTTGGTTGATCTCATCGAGAAGCCGCTGGACTTGAGCCTGCGGCGGGACAAGCAGCAGCGGGTTGGGGGAAACAGAGGTCGGAGGGTAGACATAGTATCTACGATATTTCAATGTCAGTGAACATCCACGGCAACATTGCCTCATGAAGGGAGACGTACAGATCCCATTCCCGGCTCCAAAACTTCCCGGCATCAAAGAACGCCTTGGCAACCTTTTCAGAGAGGTCTCCCTTGAGATACTTGTACGGAAAGCGACTGATAACCACCGCTGGACAAAAATGACCCGTTTCTGCAAAGGGCTGTGAAAACACCTCCGCGTCTACAGTTGAAGTTGCTGTCTTGCTCCCCTTGAAACTTTTGGCGGTCATTCCAGAATTGTGCTTTGCTCGTCCTTTGGCTGAAGCCGCGAGAGCAGCGAGATACGGGTCTTCATACTCGGAATCTGAATCGTCCTTGTCATTGTTGTCAAGTTGATGCATGACTGGTGCAGGTTTGGTGGGCAGGTCGCTGGTGCTTGGGACAGGCTCGTTCACGGTTGCTGAGGCTTCTTCACCAGCTTTCAACCCCATATCAGCTTTCAGAAGCCCCTCGTCTCTGCCCCGGAAGAGCATCCGAAGCCGATCTGTTAGGCTCATCATGAGGACTGAGGTTGAACAGCCCAGAAGGGATGGAAGACAGTGAGAAGAAACGGCCACGAAATGAAGGAGCAGTTTTGAATGATGATGTGTGGGATTGAGAGGAAGAGAGAAATACATTCACGAAAAAAACTCTTTCAGGCCGTCGAGAGAGCCATTTGAACTGATTGCTATGGCGATGGCTTCCAGTGAATATTGCGTGGTGATGTGAATATATCACACAGGAGAAACAGATGAAGCATGTGCGGCACAGGCGGATCCTTCTGGTAGCTGCATACAAAGGGATTGTTCCTCAAATTTAGGGATACAGGATCTAACTGCCATTAGCATCATTAACGGCATATATTGGGCTCTGCTGCTGGAGGAGAGGGAGTTGTGTAGCAATTTCAACTGATAAACATGCACAGGGAAACGAGGCCTTTTACAAATTGAATTATTGTCTTTGTTGGCTAAACTATTCCAACCCTGGCCATAGATCCAGCATCCTACGCAGCGTAGGTGCAGTGGAACAGTAGTCCATAGCATGTGTTTGAAATGCTAGCCATTAGATTCGGGTATAGGCAAAACATTCTAGGTCGAAAGGAGCCACCCATTTCAGTATTAGTGATTTCAGCGGCTCAGCCTTGTTGCAGTTGCTGGAATCTTCAATGTCATGTTTATTAAAACCACATCCTCGATTGTCTTCAGGGCATCTTTTTGAACCATCCTACTCGCTTATCATTCTTGTTGCCTGGAATACTCTTGATTCATCCATGGCTCTTCGAGCGACAAGTGGGTGGACTTCTGCTCTTCTGACCTAAGAACGAGCGTGGGTTACAGGAAGTGAATAAAGTCTCTCCTTTCTTCACTAGAAAGGCGTCTATTTCCCAATAAAACCGTCCAAGGAGAAGCCTCGTAGAGAAGGAACCCCTTCAAATACCACACAGTAAGAGGAGAGCTGCACCGTCCGAGTCAAAGGAGCTGTCCAATTTGGAGGGTTTCCTGAGAAATCTTTCGAAAAAGGACCAAATGGGCTATCGTTTGGGATAAATGATGTTCTGGGGAATAACTCCCGTCTGCACTTGGGCTATCAAAAAGCCATAAGTTCATAGATCTACCGCACAGGTTAATAGGTATTTTTGAAGAAAGTAGCGGGTACTTACAACACATACTGCATTCCATATGCTAGTGCTTCTAGTATTACTCCTTCAACTAATGCTAATAAAATGGTATATTTACTCCTTCGAAAATCAAGATAAACAGCCCCAAAAAGGGGTAGACTATTCAATATTACATAATCACACGGAACATCCCTTATCCGATTAACCAATCAGCGCGCGCGTCCTTTTCCGGTGGCAACTGTTGTCTCCCAACGACAATCCAAACCCGTCGCGACGATGCGTTGACCTCAGATCTTTGTTCAGCGCCCAGTTGCTGCGGCATTGATTATTCTTCTCTCTGCAAGGATACCTGATCTCTCGCTCAATGGCTGAAACAATGCGCTACCACTTTGGATAATGGTCGGCGACATTCGCATCCCAGTGCCTGGCTTGAGCTGTTGAGCTGGTCACCTCCCGCGCAGCCTTGAGTTGATCGTTGTTGCTCGTCCATTGCTGTACGAGCATGGCGACGGATTTAGGACCACGCGGTCCGAGCGACCTGTTCCTGGAAGGCCCCTCAGATCCCGACGCGCAAGCTACCATTACCGATTTTATCGACTACACTGAATACCTCCCCTCCGACCTAGTCCGTTCCTTGACCCTCATTCGCGACTTGGATAAAAAGTACCTGAACGCCGCCAATGCTGTTCATGAGCTTACAAGAGTGTACGGACAGCTGCCCGACCTAGCTCCGGAATCGCGCCCAGACCCGCAAGCCCTACGCACCCAAATCTCCGAACAGTTGAGGAGAGCGATCAACGCGCGCGAAGCCTCGTTTGCGGAAGCGTCCCGCCTCTACGATGTTGTGGACCGCCATTTCGACCGTTTAGCGAGTATAAAGTCAAAACTTGTGGCGCTGGCGGTCAGCACTGCGCGTGAGCTTGCCATAGATCTTCCGGAAACCAAGGAGTTGGCAGCGGGGTGTAAAACTGAAAAGGCGGAGCTGCCTACGCGCATTACGCTTCGTCTTGACGGTTCACGGCAAAAATCACGTACCCAGAGAGGAGCCAGGAACGGGCGTACCGCAACGTTTGATTCTACTCAAGTGGAAGCTAGCGTGGAAGGATCTGATGGCGAAACTCCGACAAGGCTGGGCACAGAGGACGGGTTAAAAGCGGCTGCTAGGCCGAAAAAGAGCAGAAAAATAGCCGGAGCACCCCAAGCAGCAGATCGAAAACAAGTTCAAGATATTTCCGGGGAGCGTTCTACAAGTAGAGCTCTAGCAGCTCTAACGGCGCCTCCTCCCGATGCAAAACTTGGCGGCGAATTCCGTCCCTGGTTACGCTTGACAGATTGGGAAATGGCCACTCTTCGAAAAAAGATGAAGAAGAACAATTTTTGGCAACCAAGCGAAGTGATGATTTATCGCGAACTATCGGAACTTGGGTCGAGGGGTGGGATAATTATCGAGCAGCAAAGAAAGCGCCGAGCGAACAGGGTGCTGAATTCATCGATTGCGACGATGTCATGAACACTTATATTCCCGGGCAAACTCACTCGCAAAAGTGAGGTGCAGGGCAATGCGGGATTGCCTTGGGGTGGAAGAGACTAAACTGAGTAATCGAGGTATGAAAATGAACGAGGCCGAAGAAGCTGAAACGCGACACCCAAGCCACGAGAACCAAGCAGCACAAGCAGAGCGGAAGCGGGAATTGGGCAGCGAAGCGGACTCGGTGATATCGGGTCGACTTTTAAATCCTTGTTCTCTGGCTCCGGTGATCAGAGCCTTGTTGATAATGTTCACACTGGACCTTTGGATGATCCGTCCATTACTAACGGGATCGCAGCTAAACCCTAGGGCAAAACCAAAAGCCACCTCTAAAAAGAGGAAATTCGAGGACACCACAACACAAGATGCGGGGGAGGATGCGGAGCCCTCGCCATCTGAAGTTCCGTCCGAAAAAACCAATATCAAAAAACTTAGGCTCACAAAACCTGCACCAGATTCGAACGAATCCTCCGTACCTGAAATTACACCTACGAAAATCGCACTTTCTCTGGGAGCACTGGGTTCAGTCAAAGGAATTTCGGCTACTTCCTCTGTTGAGCCTGACCGTCCAGTCACTCGAAGCGGGCGTCGAGCTTCAGGCTCTTCCAAGGCCCAGCCAACGTTTACGCCACCGGCGGGGTTAAAAGCGAATCGACAGCGATCTGCAACAGCGGGATCTACCGAAGCCGGAAACCGTGAAACCCGTCAGCGCAAAAGCATGACCCCAGGCAAAGCGATGGCGACCGAAGCGGCAGCGATGGCACTAACCGCCGCACCAACAGCAGCAAGCCGACGAAGCAAGCGTCCCGCGCCGGGACCCGTGACGGCCGGCCAAGACGGGGGATCGGCTGTTAGCGTAGGCCGACGCAAGGCAAAACCGGCCAAGAGAAAGAAGGACCTTAATCTTAAAGACTCTCAACCGCGAGACGATTATCGTATCGATGAGGATGGAGTGGTTGAGGAAATTGATCCGAATGAGCCGAGATATTGTCTCTGCGGGGACGTAAGCTTCGGGACCATGATTTGTTGCGAGAATATTGATGTGAGTCTCTTTGGCTATTGATGTATATATATGTACGAATCTGGAAGCTAATATCGTTATGCAGTGTGACAAGGAATGGTTCCACCTAGAATGCGTTGGGCTAACAGAGGTCCCAAGTCGTACTGCCAAATGGTACTGCCCTGATTGCAGGAAGAAACTCGGCAAGCCAGTTGTAGATGGAATTGTCCGGTCAGGTGGTAGGCGCTGATGTGTTCATACTCCTCCTTCTCGTATATTTTCTCTTTTTCTCATGAAATTACGTTGCATCATGGGTGTCGGTGCGGAATTGGCCGGAATGCATACATGCTGCCACTCGGTTGAATTTGGGTAACCAACTGGTTGTTTGTTGTCTTGACGCGTATCAAGCAGGGAATCAGCGGGATTTGTGCGTTTTCACTTCTTTTCCATGGGGCAGCTTTCTCGTGCTCCCCTGACGGTTTTTCTATGCGTCTTTTGTGCTTGCATCTGCATCCCTGTGTGGAGGGAAGTGGAGTTGCCGGCGATTGTTTTGCCTCGAAGCATATCCTTATTCTAGAGGCCTTGGTCAGTGGCGCATTGGGTCCTGCGGAGTCCGGGAGGCTAGCCCAGCAAATTCAAGATTTCTGTTCCCCGATAAATGTTGCAGCAAGCAACCTTCATTTCTCCGCAATTGTCGATGGCCGGCGTAACTAGATGATGAATTATGACGTAGGCAAGTACAGCGCAAAAAGGCCGCAGCGAGCAAGGTGTATATAAAGCCCTTTGCCTCTTCGCCCTTCAATGGATCTAAACAAGCGAAAAGCAAACCATTGCGACTGAACAAAAGACTCTATCTATAAATCTTGCTCAACTCAAACCGTTTTTAACATCCACATACATTCATCCAAGATGGGTTGCGGATGCGGATCCAACTCTTGCGGCTGCAATGGCCCCAACAACTGCTCCTGCAGCAGCCAGAGCTGCAACTGCACTGCCTGCGGCGTATGTTTCCTCCAAACCCATGGGTCATCCATGCTCCAATGGCCCAAAAGACTAAGGGAACTAACCAATCCCCCCGTGTTACAGAAATAAACCATCCATTTGAGCTCGAGCTCTTCTGACAGAGTAATGCGAAAAGAAAAACGCGGCCGACAACTGAATAACGCATTCGCCATCCTGTCTCGACGTCCTCTCATCATCCGCCATAAATTGTCCAAGGCGCCGTCGTTGGGTTCTGTTGAACGGCTAGGCTGGGGGTTTCGAGGAGGGTGTTTTGACTGCTTGACTGGGACTTGATTGGGCCTTGTTTTCTCGTTGCTCACTCTGGTGCTGGGGTCTGTCGTGTATCTGTCAGATAGTTATAAGCTATGTGTCAATGGATTCTTTATTCAATTTCGTGGTATCATTTTGCATCCAGTGTCCCATTTCTGCCGCTTCGTTTGTGGCGAAGTAACCAATGTAGCAAATCTGCATTAGAGATTCCTTATATCTCGCCCTTCGAATGGACATTGAATCCCTGAAACCTCATCTCCAATGCGAATTCGGTTGACAGGAGAATTCTGAAGCGTCCTTTTGCTGTCTCTTCCCTCTCGATCGGGGTTTATCACATGACCGTGTTGTTTCTCAATGGACTCTGTTTGATGCAGAGAACTGCTGGAACGTCGACAACCACTATGGGCTCTACTACCACAAAATCGCGACTATCAGATAGATATTCAACATGCTCGTTATCGGGAGGCTCCCATTCCTGAAGCTCAATTCGCTGCCATCGCAATGGGTGGCTCTGGAAACCACCCAGCCAACTGATGGCCTCCACTAAACGCGTTGACTGATCGTTGAGCCGAGCCATCATGGTGGAGGCATGATTATAATATTTGCATTTAACAAGCCGTGCCGCTCGTTTGCTTATCTGGACGACAAACACGAGACGAGATATATACCCATGACTCCTGCCGCTGATAACGCTGCGAGGATCCAGCAAGCATCAATATTCCCAAGTGGCTGGCTTGAGGCATCGCCCCGGCTCAGTCCTTCGTCTCCCTAAAGCTGAGCGGTCATTGGGCATAAAGTCTGCCGTCACTCTTCCAAGGGGCTCGTTCGGGTATCCCTGGATTGAGGATGCGCGATAGTGTCTCGAGAGGATAGACGGCCTGTGCCCTCAGCTTTCTGAGATTCCCATCTATTGAGCCTCTTGAGTTTGTCAGACAAACTCCCTTGTCGTCTAAACTTCACTGGTCCTCATCCATGTGAACAGACATTCAATAACAAACTTAACTGATAATCCTCAGATTAACCTCTTGGATAGTTCCCAACCTGAAAGGAACAGATCGAGAAGGATGATTCTATCCCAGGGAGCCGCCGCCACTGCCCTACCTTTTAGGTCTTGAAGCGCATCACTTGAACGAACACTATCTGGCATGGGGAACACATCACCGGCAAGTGAAGAAAAGAACAATCTTCCGGGTTCTTCTCCTTGAAGTGATAAAACATCGAATGATTTTAAAATCACTTGATAGAGATCCTCTTTCTCTCTTTCCGTCTCAAACAACAGTTCATCAACCCCCTTCCGTCCCATTAACAACCCTCCACTGACCACCTCAATCTCTAGAGACAAGCAGTTCTATCAGACGGAAGAAACTTAGCATACCAGGCACTGACAAGCATTATAGCCATGGCTCAAGCTCCAGTTACAACCGCCAATCCGACCGCTGGCCAGAAGCCCGCGGATCCCAAAGCGGCCGTCAAGGCTACCGGTACGAAACCCCCTTTTGCATCGTGAAAAACCACCCCTCGAAAAAACGCATCAGCAAACTCTCAAAAAGTTCTTCAAAGCGCTAACCTCCAAGGGGCAAAATTTGGGCACATAGTTACCGCTCTCTGCTCCCGCATCCAAGCCTTTCCGCCGTACACTTTTGTTACCCGGCAGAAATTGGAATCTATTTCTCGCCTTCTGCGCAAACTGAGCGCCCTCAAGCCGTTTGAAGAAATCGACCCTACCATTCTGAAGGAAACTAGGGTCCATGTGTTGATGATGAATCTTATCAAGAGCCCGATTGAGCAAGCCGATAGCACCGCCCTGCGTATTCGCGACGAGGCCGTCTGCCTCCTCAAAAGCTGGGTGCCGCTTATGGTAGATATTGAAAGGACTTTACGTTTGACTATCAAAGATTCTCGAGCTAAAGCTAGAGCCCTTCGTAAACAATTGCGCAAGATGAACAACTAAGGCTACTCTTCCTGGGGGTAAGTTGACGCTGATTTCCCAAGGATGTGGGGCGTTGTCTGACAGGAGTTTCTTTCAGGAATTCGATGATGTTCACTTGGAGACAATATCGAGATTGGACATTGGGCAAGAAACGATTTAGGGGACGAAGCGACTGGGGGAACATGTGGATAGGGGATATTCTGAAATTTAATTCGCTTAGTTAACTCATTGATATCGGTTAACTAGAGACAACTAAATTGAAAAGCCTGAAGGTGCATGGGCACTTCTTCTTTTCCATATCAAGTCTGCTATGTTATACTCAAACATTTGGGCATTTGCCGAAACTAGAACAAAGTATTTCCTCTTTTCTTTTTTTTCCCCGTTAAATCAGCACTCGAATGGCATGAGGCAAGGTAACAAACGCAGAAAGAATAATGTACTGCACTAACAAAAAAGAATTTCTCACGGGACCCTGTACTTTGACACTGCAAACCAACTCCGACAAGGTAAATGGGAGCATGATTCACGAATCTTTACCGGCAATAAACATGCACAACAGCCTGCAAAGCCAACTCCGTTGAGCACATAGCTGGTTTAAATTCCCTCCGTGAAGCGACTAGTACAGCTGCCATCCGCGCTCGCATGACTCCTCCCAATGGCATCACCTGAGAAAGCTCTCATCGACGAGCGTGGCGGTGGTTGGGGGGACATCATCCGCGTCATCATCCCAGTTCTAGCAGTAGTAGGCACGTCGGTACCAGAGACGGAGCTTTCGGTGGTGATCGCTCTCGCAGGGGATGGGCGGAACAAAACCTTCTCAGAAGAGTCACTTTCCTGGGACGCAGGACGGCCAAGCGGCGGGGAGGGAATAGTTCGGGACTGTCCGATTTCCTTGTTGAGTGGTGGATCGTACGAAGCAGACGCAACGCCGACTCCTATATCTTTTGTCAATGCGCCGGATTCATACACTTTTTCGCTAACTCCGAACTCGTTATCATAACCGTCACCACCAGTTTCTAACACAGATTTTAGTTTCCTACCCCCAAGCTTTTCAAAGCCGCGTTGAGCCGGTACGAATTCTTCAGTGCGAAGCGACTGATCAGAGTCTCTCCATCGGCTAAGAGCTCGGGCAGGCGCAAAGAAGTTGGCAATAATGGCACTTGAGCGAGCGCTTGAACTGAAACCAGGACGTGGAGGGTACTCCGCTGGCATTGTAGAACCTGCACCTTCGGAGAGTGCACGGGTTTGCGAGGACTTTCGTTTTCGAGAACGGATTGTAAACAAGATGATCAATAGAATCAAAACAAAACCGGAAACTGAGCCAACAACAGCTCCAATGACTCGCGGTGGAGAGAGGCCATCGGTTTTGGAAGTTTGGCCCTGGTTATCAAATAAATTAGTGGGAGCGGGTCCGCTATTTTCAGTTGGAGCACCCCCGCCTCCTCCAAAGAAGAGTGTAGTGGAAGTCGAGGAAGTTACGGAAGATTTCACTGAAGAAGTGGAGGTTGAAGTAGAAGATGTCGTCGAGGAGGATGTTGTAGTCGCGGTAGAAAGTAGAATAGAACTTGGTGTAGAAACCAAGGGGGAGGAAGACGTGGAAATAGAGGGAGGAATCGAAGAGGCAATTGACGGGACTATGGAGGTAACCAGAGAGACTATATCGCTACTGGAAATAGGTGGGATAATTGAAGTTTCGCTGGCGGATGTAGGGATAACCGGGTAGAGGTTGAGAGACGAGGGCGTCAGCAATGTGACAACAGGCGTTTCCGGGGTCACCGATGGGATTAAGATAACATCGGCGGGAGATGTAATGATCCCTGATGTTTGGTGGTCGGATGCCGCAGGTGGTGGTGATTGTGAAACCGGAATGCTAGGAGCAGTTTCAGACGCACTAGGGAGCGTGACAGGTTCACTTAAAGAGGGCGATTCAGTTGCTGGGATACTAACTGAGGCAGTGTGAGACGCTGATGTTGCACTTGGAAGGGCAGAGACAGTAATCGGTGAATCTGACTCTGCTGGAATGGTGACAATCCCAATCTCAGAGTTTGATACTGTTGCTGGCAAAGTTTCGACTGTAAATGTCCCAACGGTTGAGCCATTTTCATGGACAACATGGATAACAGTCTTGACAACCACAGCTTTGGATGCAGTCTGAACCTGTCGCACATTGAAGCTTTGTACGTGTCTGTGTACGTGTAACAGAAGGTCCGGGCCTGTGTTTTGGTGTGCGTCTGCATCAATATGGATGCTTCTCGGCGGTGTGTGATCTTCCCCAGCTTCCGGAAGCACAAGGATCCCTTCTCTTACTGCATTCTTGTTTTTTGTTTCTGCAATCAAAGTTTCAAGTTTCTTTTTATGTTTTCTCTGACCATGGTGGCCCATTGTGATGGAGAATATTGGTTTCTACCAGACTTGCTTGAGACAAAGTCCCTCCCAGATATGACCAATATTTTATCAGAAAAGAGTGACTAGATGAGCAGACCCTTGCTGCATGTGGGTTACGCGAATCAACGGCGATAAAAAAGAGAAGGCAAGCCTCTTGGGCCAAAAGAACTGACCAAAGGGAACCGCGTGGAACCCCACCTTGGGAATGATTGAGGTTGAAAACGAAACGATCGATCGAACCAACTGGAGGGTCAAAGAGTGAAGAGACCTGAAGTCTAACTCGAAGGGGTGGGGTGGAAAAGAATGCTTCAAGCACGCGCAACGCGTAGGGCATGTGCAAGTATGTTTGTTTTGATAAAGAGTGGGAAACGTTTGACGCGCGAAACGTTGGATCGCTGGACGGGTAAATGAAAAGCGAAGGGATTGTGTTGTCGAAATGGTCGAGCTACGCGACGACGTAAATGGTTCGAAGGAATGGACGTCTATCCGCAGAAACAAAGTGCGGGAGACGAATGGAGATTCTGTGGCAGCACCACTGGCCGTCAGCACATGGCCCAGCAAGCAATATCTCGGTCTGCCTTGAAGGGGGCATAGCTACCAGATATGGCGGAGCGGAATACTAAGTCATCGTTGACGGCGTCGGAGCCAACGCGACGGAATTGAAACTTTTCGATGTGACGATTTGAAACGAACGTGGGATTCCAAGAGAATCATGCGAAGAGAAGTCTGCGAAATGAATGGGACGGTAAACGGCTTGCTCAACAGCTCTCGGACGCCCTGGTCATGCGACGAAAAGCGTGGTTGAAGCACAAGCGACCCATCCGCCCACTATCACCGACGTTCCCACACTCTTTAAGAGGCTCTCAGCACGATTGTCGGCAGCGTCATAGTCGACTCTCGGGGGCGAGTAGAACCGGACCCTCAGACGAACGCTGGCGAGCTTTTGACGACGGGGCTGGCATCATGGAGGAGAGAGGAGGAGGAGGAGGAAGAGAGGCGCCAACAAAGCGGACGACGTGCCTTTGACGTTGCACGAGGAACAAGGGGGTTTCAACCAGCTAAACGCCAAGACCCGTAATTAAACACGATCGCCGCGCTGATTGGCTGCGGCTAGCGTTGTGGCGGTTATTGGTGTGGCGGTACCTGCAGCTGATACGGTAAATTAAACCGCCCTAGGCCTGATCGGACTAGCGCCCGCACCGTTATGGGCGTTTGCGGCTGCTGATTGGCTGAAGGCAACGGACCAATTACGATGTGAAAACGCGATCAAGACCGTGGCTGACTAAGCGAGATACATTTCGAACGTCTATCGGACGCAACAATAATGGTCCTGTTCTCTCTGCAGCACAGTACTCCGGATCGACAAGGAAAGGGCTTGTACAAGACAGCGTATGCTTGTCACGGCAGTTCTTCAACAATTTAAGAGCAGCAAAAAGGGGCAAGGAGAGGGCGTCGAGCGTAAAGGTAGGGGACAAAATAATAGGGTTCAAAACAGGGTCAACAAGAAGCTAGTTAACATGCTGTGGTATTTTCGCAAAAACGAGGGCTCGAAGTCCAACCAAACTTCAAGGTATCAGAAACTACGGGTAGGCGTCGCCTTTATTCAAAAAGTCTCCAACTCATCCCCAGCTGCCTCGGCTTCTGCTGGGATCTCAAACCCGTCCTAAATCGAGCCCGCATGCATTAGTTCACCTGAAAAAACGTCTCCGTACCCCGAGGATAGTAAGGAACCGGGGGTCTGAACATCACCGTGTGCACATACCTCTGTCGAATACAGAATGGCCTGAATGTGCTTCACCAGAGAATCCTCCTCCTTTTCCAATTCAGGGTCCGCTTCGACGGCTTGCTGCAGCAAAAGCTCAATATCACGGAGTTTGGCAAAGTAGAAATCTCGCTCCTTCTCCAAGCCGGCGATCGCTTCTTTCTGCGCGTTGATTTCTTGCGTCAATGCGGCCGTGTTCGCTGAAGCACCGCCAACTCTTGAGCGAGTGCCAGCGGTAGTGGGGGTTGCGCCTCGACGAGCACCAGTAGCGGATGTCGCTCCAGGTCGGGATGAAGTGGAGGAGGCCGGAGGTGGGCCGGCGCCTTTTCGTCGACTCACAGCGTCGTAATCGCCGCCCGGGTAGTTCTGGTCCCAGAATCTCTTGGTGAACTGGAGAAAGTCGAGGTTATCCTGCATACGGCATTTGATGAGCGCTTCAACAGGAACTGGGCGGTCTATCTGATGTTTGTTGAACACGTCTGGCAAGGGCCGTTAACGGAAAGACACCCAGAAGGTGGATTACGGGTGGACGCACTCTGCAAGATCTTGAAATTCTGGATATAGGCGTATTCAGTGTTGACGTTGAACTTGACTCTGGACATTGGCACATCCACTAGCCCATTGGTTAGCTCTGTATCAGGTTTATTATGCTTTATTGAGTAACGCGTCACTCACTGAATACCGAGTCATAAATCTGGCAATATGCCGCCCTAGAAAGACAATCCCAGACGACCAGAGTCAGCAATCAACCCTACAACGTGAAGCATAGAATCGTAGGTGCCGAGTGTGGCTATTGCTCATGAAAGTGCTTTCAATCCATCCGAACCGGCTGTAGATATCACATAGCTCTTCTAATGAGGGGTAGGACAGAGAGGTAACGGGAGTGAGAGGAGGAGGGGAGTTTGACGAAGCTCGTACCCGGTGCCGCATTGCTCGACTTTGGTCACATTTAGCTGCAGCAGGTTGTTCAACCAGGCCAGCAACTCTTGTCTGATGGGAAAAGCAAGCGTTAGTAGAGCCCATTGCTACTTTGATACACCTCTCTGCTAACCGCCAAACGGCCATGAAACGACCCTGCTGAGTACGCAAGGGCACTGGAGAGGGAATTGATGCAGAGTACGTACCTGGATTCACCCATCTTAGACGCGCCTAGGCCTCAAAAAACTGCGGAATGGTGTGGCTACCGGGTGCAATATGCAAGTGGTTGGCTTGGGGCTTTTGAGATATGCGGACACAAACCTCGTCGCCTCTCGTTGGATTTATGGCGGGGCTAGAAATGCAGCTTTGAAGCCTGGGATCAGCTCACAACAGTGCGGCGTTGCCCAAGGACCAAGGCTAGATGTGCTTTCAGTGTTGAGGAGAGCAGCTGGTACAAATCGACGTGTTTCTGTTGATTAGCAATTAGGAGAGGGGGGAACTAGCCGCCAAACTATGGAAAGTGTTGTTTTTTTGGTTCCTGGAAAGTTTTCGAGGTTTCGGGATGACAGAAACCAAACGCCCAATCGAACCAAACAGAAAGACAAGCCACTGAGGTGAAAGAATCAGCCGAAGGATTCGACCATCGCAAACCGTTGCTCTTTGACCTCACGATAGACGAAAGATGCTCGGCTACCCTGTCAGGCATCGTCCATGGCCGTTCTTCTTCTCCATGAATCCCCTCGCGCCGCGTACAACGGCGTGCTGAGCGCCTTTCTCAACGAAGAGCTGATGACTGCTACGACGACCGTTGATGCCCCAGCGCAACCTGTGCCCTGTCTCCTGCTACCTCAAGGTTGTTCAGCCTCAAATCGACTCGTACAACACATATCTGAAGGGCCTGGATCCTTGCCGCGGCTCCATTTCAGCCCACTCTTTATGGCTATGGCCGGAGCATCCAAACCTGAATAATGTTGGTTTAACATTGCAGTCAAGCCGAATACCTTTTAAACCCGTACAACAAGGTCGGGATGCCAATATTCCAATCTTCTGCATCCCTACCGCCGGCCCATCCGTGGCTTTTGTCCCCGAACCCTAGCACCTCGATGAACCCCTCCCGAGCCGAAAAGCAGTCTCAAGGAAATATACGATGCGGAGGGTTGCAACGTTGCAATGCATATCAACTGTGCTCCATGATCAGCTGATGGAATGAATACTTCCATCTATTATAAATGCTGATTCTCGCTGCCCATTGTCTCACGGTGACTAGACATCCATAGACCTCCTTAGAGCATATTTCCATCATGGGGCTTATTAAAAGATTGTTATTGGTTTCTCTCTCATTGCTCTCCGCTGTAAATGCAGCGGAGATTCTTTCTCTCGGGAATAGTGAGGATGTTATTGCAGATTCCTACATTGTGGTGATGAAGGATGGATTATCCCAAACAGCGTTTGATACCCACAAGACAGAGGTTTCCAGTATCTCTAAAAGAAAGCGGGACGCAACAGCTGTGCTTAAACACTCTTTTGATTTTACGGGCTTTAGAGGCTATTCGGGTACTTTTGATGAAGCAACAATTCGCGAGATTGCTACTAACCCAGCCGTATGCCCCTTCCATGTGTTGCCAATATCAAAGCAAAGTATATTAATATCACTAGGTGAAATACATTGAGCATGACAAAGTCGCAAAGGCCCACGGCCTAATTGAACAAAAAGGCGCGGGATGGAATCTCGCCCGCATCTCGCACAGACAGCCTGGTGCTACTAGTTACGTCTACGACGAATCGGCTGGACAGGGCATCTCGGTTTGCCTAGTCGACACCGGCGTCAACGTGAGGATCCCCGAACTGGGTGGCCGCGCCATTTGGGGCGTCAACTTGATTGATCGCGAGGACACCGACGGAAACGGCCACGGTACTTTCTTAGCCTCACTGATCGCAGGCACAAGACACGGGGTTGCCAAAAAGGCAGAGATAATCGCTGTCAAAGTTCTCAACGCCAGCGGCAGCGGATCTACTAGTACCATCATCGCCGGAATCTACTGGTGCATCCAGAACGCTAACGACAGGGGGGCATTGAACAGCACCCTCATCAATTTGTCACTGGGTGGGAGCTATTCAAGGGGTCTTAACCAGGCTGCCGAGGCTGCTGTTCGTGCCGGACTGTTCGTATCTGCCGCAGTAGGCGGCTCGAATGTAAGCGCGCTCCGAAATACGCCGATTTCATGCAGCTAACCATATATCAGATTGACTCAGGCAACGAATCCCCAGCATCAGCCCAAGGCGTCTGTGCCATTGCAGCAAGCACGATGGATGACCGGCCCGCACTATTCTCTAACTACGGAAAAAACGGTAAATACTCCGCCAAAAGCCGCATCGGTCAAGAGATCACTAACAGAAATCCATTTTGAACAGTCGCCCTCTATGCTCCGGGCCAAAATATCATGGCGATTTCCAACAACGGCGGGACCGTGACATTGTCAGGAACATCTTTCGCTGCGGGTCACGCCGCAGGGGTCGCGGCGTATTTGCAGCGTCTGGAGGGGATCCCCGGCAACACCATCTGCAATCGTCTCAAGCAACTTGGAAACCCGGTGATTCGCAACCCACATTCAGGCAGCACGCGACTTTTGTTGTATAATGGCAGTGGTCGCTGAAAACATGCTGGTACCTCATACAGCAAAGGGCTTGGTTGGGGGCTTATGCAAGATTTCGACATTTGTAAGATGTGAGAAATGAAAGATTGATAGTGATATTTTGCAAATATGAAAATCGAAAGGAACTCGAAACACAAAAAGGTTCTAGTAATTAAATGCAGTTGAGAGACTCCATCTCCATCAAAGTCACTCCGAAAAGAGCGAGAAGCCCGATCTAGGACCAACAGCCCATCCCATGAGTAACGAAAAGAATCTCACACTAAAATCAAAATGCTGCTCAACCAAAAACTAGCAAAGAAATCTTTCAAAATTCAAGCACATCAGAAACAAGGCCACAAACATTCGAAAATTTATCCCAATAGTGCAAGCCCTTCCACACGCTATCAAAATGCAACACAATCCATAGATAACCAAGGGGCAAAAATAAGCAAGAAGGACGGCAGTCTATAGACGAACAGAAGCAAAATACTGTGCCCAAATATGTATAAAAAGCGAAACAGGGTAATTCGCAAAATTATCCCGCAATGGCCAAACATTATTCATTCCTCCAATAATTCAATCCCATCCAACCCATACCCGAAATCCATAATAACAGCGCGGGAATCCTGGCTGGTCGCCACGATTCTCCTATAATCGGATTTCGCACTCAACATCCAACTCGTGGTCCAGCCAGGAAGGTCGATAGAGAGTTCTCCGGATTTAGCATCAAATACCTTGACGCTCATGTCGTAGCTACCGCTGATAACGCGGCCATGTTCATTATCCATGTGAAGGGACCGGACGAGGCCGGTGTGGCCCTTTAGTTCGTTGACCAATTCGCCCGTGTTTGCGTCGAATTGGTAGATGACCTGATCGTTCCCGCCGGCCAGGATGGTGCGCGCATCTTCGCTGAATTCCACGCATGCAAGGCCTCGATCGCGGCTAGCGAATTCTTTAATGCAGAGACCAGATGTAATGTTCCAGAGTTTGGCAACGCCATCGCCGCTGGCCGAGACGACCAGGTCGCCTCGTAGTTGGACGGCGTTTACGGGGCCGCGATGTCCAAGAAGCTTCTTCACGAGCTCTCCTGTGTGGCGATCCCAGACACAAATGGTAGTGTCCTTGGAGCAGGAAATGATATATCTATCGTCAAAGCACACGTCAAGGACACCAGCACGGTGCCCGTCCAGGCGACGGATGGGCTTGTAATCATTGTTGATATCCCACACAATACAGGTGAAATCCGATGAGCCGGTTACCATTATTTCATCGTCAAACTGGAGGCAGAGAATTGAGGCACGGTGGTAATCCTGGGCATGGGGGTCCTCCTTCATTACTTCACTGGCAGATTTCGCCGGCGGACAGATACTGATAAATGGGGCGCTGCCGGGAGAATCCGGTGGTGGGTTAATCGCCAATGGCCCAATTTGAGCGCTATCAGTTCTATCTTGAAGGGCGCCGATAACCTTCAGGCAAGGCCAGGGATAATGAGCGTCCCATACGCGAATCGTCCTATCACGAGAGCCTGTGATGATTTTGTTCCTGTTTTGGAATTAGTGGATGGGTTGGGGTTTTCGTAATAGACTGTAATCAACCACGTACTCGTCAAACTGGACGCAGTAAACGCTGTCCTTGTGGCCATGCAAGTAAATAGCTGCAGCCTTCCCTTGTTTCCACCGACTTTCCAAAGCCCGACGGACGGCATACATTTTCTTCCAGTCCTGGTTCGGTCGTACTTTCCCGAGGCCCATTGCCCGGGCTTTCCCGGCTTTAGAACTCGCTGTGCTACAACCGTGTCTGTGTTCGTGCCGAAAGACTTCTCTCCACACATGGCGGGAAGAAGCCTGGGAATTCCAAGCATGGGAGACCAATTCCGCATTCTTGACTGACTCGGCATCCAAAAAGGATAAAACATGGCACATTAACTCCGTAGGCAAGTATGCGACTGGGTCTGTAACGAAGGTCAGATGGGCAGTTCAAAAAAGAGAGGGTATAGGTGGAGGGAACACACCTTTCCGGACAACGTCCAGATCATCTTCCGAGCCACAGATGCTATCCTGAATGTTGATTTCGATCCCACTTTCGGAATCGAGCGACGGTTTCGTGTCATGGCGCGGGATTATCTCAAAACCTCGAGTGTCCGCTCCCGATGTCACGCGTTCCAGCCGGATGATCTCATTTTGCGCGGCTGCAGCAGCACGGGCTGCATCTCCTCCGGATAATTCTTCAGGGAAGAGAGGTAAGTCAGGGGTGTTCGCAGGGATTGGGGGTGAAATGCCGAGAGTATGGGACTGGGATCTGTTTAAAGGATGGAGCGTGCTGAACGACTGGCGGTGCATGCAATTGCCTCGAGGCCCGCCATGTTTTGACTCCTTTCGATAATGGCCTTCCAGGTACGGCTCTAGGGAGCCCCTTTCCTGCGGAACCTCCAAGGTATGCTTGTGTGACTTGTGGCGAATCGTGAAAGAGAATCGTCGTACCGCGGCTCGCAGCTCACTCACGCTATGTCGAATACAAGAAATGCTCTTACTATGGTGTCGCCTTCCCATAATTGGGCTAGACGACACAAGGGGGCCCGAGTTCGTGGTAATCGGCGGCCTGTGCAGTTCGGTATCACCGCATGAAGGGATGGCGGGCTCGTGATAGAAATGCGACACTGTTTCCTTGTAGCTCCCATCTCCGCTTGGTGCCCATATGGCCGGGTGGAAGGGCTCCAAAGGTCGAGTCACACCCTGTTCTGCTCCCGCAGTTTTCGGGCGGACCCGTGATAGGAAAGACGCCTGTCGCCGAACCGAGCGCGAATTGTTTGCACTACCAGGGGACATGGCAGCAAGGACCGCAATTACCGGAGAACCGAATCGACTTTGTTAGGAACCGAAATGAATGAAAAACCGGAGGTGTCAAAAGTCACGATTTGACGGTGTTATTGGCGATAAGGACTCGGCGGAATTGATATGCAGTTTGTTAACCACCGGGACGCCAGCAAAGAAACAAATACGGAAAAGGACAGTCGAGGGCAAAGAGCGAGAGGATAAAGAACACAAGACGGCGAAAAGAGCGAACAGACGGGCGGGTCAGGCAGAGCGGAGAGTCAGGAGGAAGCATCACAAGCGATTCTGGCGGGCGATTTTTGTTTTCAAGGGAGCTTGCAGCCTAGACTCGATCGGGCATGGCGCGGGAAGGGTTTGCAGCCGCTAGGCTGGAAAGGGGAAGGCGTGTTTTCGCCCCTGAAAACAAAGAAACAGCTGCTGACTCATCCCTTGGCAGCCAGTTGGACTGCATCTTTAGGGGCATCAAGAAGGACCTGGGGAACGGGGGAGCAACTTTGAGGAAAACATCTTCCAGCACGGAGTGCTTACTCCTAATGTGGCCAGCAAGGAACACTGCCTGTTTGTCCCGATTACTTTGGCAAGCTCAGCGGCCTGTTGCGTACCCGATCACCCTTTCCCGTGCAATGAGTCTGTATTATCTGTCCTGTTTTGCTGCACTGTTATCCTGATGGCTTGGATTTTGACAAAGGCTCCCGGACAAACGAGCATCTTTTTACCTACACATCTGGCAGATTTCTTTTCAACGAAGAGCTCCGGCGGAACGAGCGCTATGTGAGATTCAACGTTGAAGCTTTTAAGCAGCTTGCTGCAGGGCACATCGAGCCTGGTCATGGCAAAGTAATGGATATCATAAAGCTTGCCGAAGGCGGATTCAATCGGGTGTTCCTCCTCTCCATGGAGGATGGTTTCCAGGCTATTGCCAAAATACCATACCACATTGCTGTTCCCAAGCATTATGCAACAGCCAGTGAAGCAGCTACGTTAGAGTTTCTGCACTCGAAGGGAGTGCCTGTGCCAAAACTTTATGGTTACTCTGCTTCTGTCGATAATCCAGCTGGGGTTGAATATCTCATTATGGAAAAAGCTCACGGTGTTCCGATTATTGACAAATGGTTCACCATGACAAAGCGAGAAAGGCATACATTAGCTTCAAGCGTCGTGGAAATCGAGAAAAAGTTGTTTGGCTTTTCTTTTAATGCAATCGGTAGCATTTACTTTGCATCTGATGTGCCGTCACACCTTCAGGCACCTCTCTATTCTAAGAGCTTTGAAAGTGACATACAAGATGATACCCATAAAAGGTTCTGCATTGGCCCTACTGCTGATTACATGTTTTGGTATGGAAGGAGAGCTGGACTTGACTTACATCGGGGGCCGTGTACGAATATCCTCTCGGTATCCCTCGTCTCTTTACCGCCTAATGCTGATCTCTTCCAGGGACCAACCCAACGGATTATCTTCATTCAGTCGGTGAAAAGGAGCTTGTATGGACGCGCAGCTACGGGAAGCCACTTGAGCTGGATTTTCCGCACAATGGACCTTTTCCTGGAAAGCAGCATCCCGATCAATACATAACTCTCTTGGAGAAGTATCTTGCCATGATCCCATACCTTCTGCCCAAACAAAATTCAGACCCGCGGAACCAGCCAACGTTCCGTCATCCTGGTGGGTGGAACTGCCTTGTTTCTCCCGTCTTACTTCTGCTAATGCTGTTTCTCACGATTTCGATTATTAGATCTTAATCCAAATAACATCTTCGTGCATCCTGAAACCGGTGCCATATCTTGCATTATTGACTGGCAACACGCAAGTATAGAACCGCTCCTCCTTGCCGCTGGTTATCCTCGTGCATTCGAAAATCCAGATATCAATGAACCAGTTGACCTTCAGGAACCAAAGTTACCACCCGAATATGACTCGCTGACTGGCGAGGACAAAGCAGAAGCGGATGAGCTTTACCGACGGCAGACGCTTTTTTACTATTACCGCATATTCAACGGCGTACACAATAGGTCACATCTGAGCGCTATACATGACCCTCTTCTCCACCCGCGCAAGCATCTAGTAGACAGGGCTGGTCGTCAGTGGAGTGGAAATTTGATGACTCTCAAGGGCGCTCTTGTCAGAATGGCTGAATACTGGCCTCTCCTTCCAGACACAAAGGGTATCAAATGCCCTATTGAGTTTTCACCGGATGAAATAGAGGAATTCCACAAGAACGAGGAGATTTGGTTTAGTCTAAATGCTGTTGTGAATCGGTGGCGGGATCAGATTGGAATGAACGAGGAGGGTTGGATTAGCAATCAGCAATATGAAAGCGCTGTTGAAAGGGACAAGGGACTTAAGAAGGAACTGATCAAGATGACCGAGGGTGACCAGGAGGATATTGAGTTACTTCACAAGGGCTGGCCGTTTAGAGATCAAGAGGAAGTGTATTGATATGTAATCAAAGTCTGCTACCCAACTCCACTAAGATCTTCGTTAGAATGTTGGGACGAAATGGATCTCAATCGGCATGCCTGGGATTGGCCTTGGTGTGGCAGTGTTGTCCTGCTTATCCTTGTTCCTCCTCTTCCAAGACGCACTGGATGTGGTGCGATAAACCTCATGAGGATGCATGGAACCATTTCTGCCCGATGATGCCCCGTTTTCGCGTCACACTCGACCAAATGCGAGCCGGTGTGATGAACCAAATCTCGAAAACCCTCTGGAGGCATGTTTTGGAGTTTGAGCTTGACGGCGTTTGCGGGCCATAAAAAAAAAAAAGAAAAGGACAAGACCGTCAAATTTTCCCCCAGACATGCAATGAAATCAGAAAATTTGCGCATCCCCTGAAACAGCACTGCCCCGGTTCTTCGGCTTGCGCGGAGCAGAAGAATTTCTCATTCCATAACATACAGCGGACCTCTTTCTGTTATGGATCTGCTTTTGCCCTTGGTGGGACTAGTTTCACCGATTGTTGATAGATGGAGTAAGTATGAAAAGTAATCATAGAACTGCATTTGTTAGCTCTGAGCTACGCAGTTACTTCTCCAAAGCCCGTTTGGAGTACTGCTGGTTGGTTAGTTAACCCAACATGCATACAGCTGCAGCTAGTTATGACATGTTCCGAGCATCCGAAAAACTGTATCTCCTGTCAAAGAGCGGTGCGAGGGGCATCTCTTCAGGATTTTTCTTTGTTACGCTTGGGGAGCACGATGTCAATCCCGGCTATGAAATGAGAAGAAAGAAAAGGCGGTTTCAATAGTGCAGGAAGTTGGTAATTTGTGCCCGCGCCCTCCTGGGCATCGAAAGTGCGCGACATTCAGCCATGCCGAGATCAGTGCGCAGTCCACGGTGGCCGGTCCATCTAGAGGTTGGAATCTGACAAGACGGCCGCAATGGGTCGTCGTCATGGTACACATAACGCACTCGAAGCCACAACGATCAAGTTGCGAACATATCATTGGTACCAGGTAGGTTTAAGCTTATATAGCACAGAAAATGCAATACGCCCCTGGACGCTGGCAACGGAAGAGGTTGATCCAGGCAGGCGGAGCGATCATGGCTATGCCAGTCATCATTTGACAAGAGTGGATCAGATGTAGAGCCTGATAGCCTAGGCTCGATGGCGAGGAAGAGAATTTTGTTCTCGTTGCAGTGCCAACCCCTGAGATTGATAAAAACGATCTGATAAGCGATCGAAGCTTGGAGGTGCCGGTTTGTAACTGTTTCGCCACATGCCGAAACAGCATTTTATCCCGCTTTCAAACATGTTGAGTGTCAACGTGGGATCTGCCGGTACGATGGGTTGCTAAGCCCCCATAAACAACAGGTCTACTTCGACCTCGCCAGGGCTTAGTTGGGAGTGCGTGTGAACTTTTTGGTCAGCACAGGAGCCTCGTTGCAGCTGTTCTCACGACCGACTTTTCTCGCTGCGCACTAGGCAGACTTGATCGTCACCGGGGCGCTTGGAATGGCGCTTAGCTCCAGATCCTCGGCTGACAAGGTGTGGCGCAACGGATCGCCCCAGCCAATGACAGATGTGTATTTCCAGTAGGAATGACATAACCTGTGGCTCAGCAGAAACTACCTGTGGCTGACCACCTTAGTCATTCTCGGCACTTCGCCTGGTCAATATGGGTTTTTTTGGTGAAAGCTGTCGAATGTCATGTTGGAAGAGCTTCTCGCCTGAGCCTGACCGGAGGATAGCTGTCAGACTGAGGAAGAGGGCTCAGGATATCCACGTTCGCCACGAGCCTGCTGGCTCCCGTATCTGCGCGTTTGCGAATACGGGGATCGGCTCCCCAAAATACACATTTTGCAGGTGGGCAATTGGGAAAATGGCATGCTCAGCCGAAGAAGCCTCCTCTCTTGATGATTTTGGCAGAAACATGACTACAGCGACCTTTGGGTTCACCCAGACATGTCTTCTCGTGCAGGGACAAACCTGCATCTACTAGCGCATCATAAAGAAACTCGGGATGCATCTGATACTCTGGCTCTTCGACTGGGAAGCGCAATTTGTTGCGTTTGAGCGGTTCCTTGCAACAACAGCTTCCATACCCCATCAGACTTTCCAAGATGCCAAGGTGGGCGGAGTCGAGCAATTTCGACGGGTCCAGCGGACCTCCTGGTTCTCCCATCCAGCCGAAGTGGGAAGGGAAAATCGCTCACTCAATCAAGCTGCTAGGAGGCTCACGGCTCGGTTGTCTGCGTCACACAAGACGAAAAGGGAGCACTGAGCACACTGGGCTGCGACTGTTGCCAGAGGTCAATTTGGGCGGAGTTTTTCTTGTCAGTCTTCTTGGAGGACAGGTGAAACCTTGCCTGGGGATCGAGACGCGGGACGGAGAATTCTCTCCACAGAAGAAAAAAGTCGGAAATAAGTTTGTGCCAAGAATAGTCAAACAGATGATCCAAAGCAGCGAGGGTGCTGCAGCGTTGGAGGAGCTCGTTCTTTGTAGTAGTCATGTATGTACAGTCCTGGAGATCAACCGTGGGAAGTATGGAAAATGTGCTGTTCGTACATATGTCCAGGACATATACATACAGGATGCGTGCGGGATTTTCACGAGCGGTCCCAGTGATGCTTTAGACTTTGTGGACTTGGACTCTCGGCGTCGTGATGGCATCCCAGTCAGCGCATCCTGACATCGACCTGATTTGGCTGCTGCTTCCATCTCGACGGGCGATGAGTAATCTGCCGATGGTTACCGATCAGGAAGGAAGCGCTGGGTGGATCATTCCCCGGGCTGCCATTGGCCGGCGGGCAGCACCAATCAGCGGCCTGAAGAATCAACCGCCATCCCGGCCTCCAGACGACACTTCATCCAGTTCCATCGCTCCAGGATGGTGCGAGATGACCTGCGATGCCAGCGGCTATGGCTCAGCGGCTTCGTGATGGCGAACATGATACGTCTCTGAACTCATTTCCCAAACAAGGGGGAATGCCCGCCGTCCGTTTGCCTGTCACTCCGACAAACTTTCGACCAGGGGTGGCGTTTTGCTAAGCTCGACCCCGGGAGGGATCCTCTGCACTGCCTCAATCTCAACATTATGCCATGGAACCTGAGAACATGATTGCCTCCACCAAGACTCTGGGCAAGGATGGGCTGGCGGATAACCCGACAAGGCCAGAGCATTCATATATACATCCAGGTTAATCGGCGACATCAACGACCAGTTTTCAACCCCCGATCCTCGACTTTTCACAATCACTAAAAACCCGCTACTCTTTCAACACGAGATATCACATAATACTTGGCTTTCCATTCTGAGTGATGGTCGATACTCTTTGACCTCGTTACACCAACTCAGCTTTCTTTCATATACCGTTTTCATTTTTTCACTATTTGACCTGATAAGCCATGCTTTGCATTTGTAGATGATATTTCCTTTCTGCCTTTTAGAATACGAATTTCCGTCTCCGAGCCAGCCTTCTTCAGATTCTCAAGCGAGTCTCTTTTGAAGAGATCCGGAATCTGCACCTATGGCGAATAATAACAGATTACTCGCCCCTCCTATTTTCATTGATACCTCAGTGAGTTCTTTCTTATCATAAAGGTTATCGAAGACGAAACTGTCTTATACTGATATATGCGCATAAAGCAAGCGAGCTCGTCCTCGTCAACAATAGAACAGGATAATATCTCGCCTGACAGACCATTCTCCAGCAATGGCAGCTTTCTCACCGCTCATAGCCCCATCTCGATGGATGGAGAGACACTCCGTTCGCGGGCAAATTCATTTAATTCTAATGTAGATACCCTCAGGTCTCGATCTGACTCCATGGCGCATAAGGATCTGGACAATGTGCACTATGACGATGTGCCAGTATCAGAAGCGTTAAACCCCGACCAGCGAAACGAGAATGATTTTAAGGTCGATAATAATCCCTTTGCGTTTACGCCCGGTCAGCTCAACAAGATGCTTAACCCCAAGTCTCTAGCTGCCTTTCGAGCGCTGGGTGGGCTTCGAGGCTTAGAACGTGGTCTCAGAACGGACTTGGCGGCAGGCTTGTCCTTTGACGAAAGTCAACTGGAAGGAACCGTCACTTTCGAAGAGGCAACCCGACCGGATTTGAAAAAGGGAATCGAGACGAGAACTCCATCTGGAATAGCGGAAAGTCACACCGGCTCACCAGCAGAAGGGCAGTTCACGGATCGAGTCCGTGTCTTCAAACAAAACAGACTTCCGGAACGGAAAAGTGACGGCTTCTTTGTCTTATTATGGAGAGCATACAACGACAAGATCATCATTCTGTTAACGATTGCCGCGGTTGTCTCGTTATCCTTGGGTCTATACGAGACATTTAGCGGGGGTTCTAAAGTTGATTGGATCGAAGGCGTGGCTATTTGCGCAGCCATTATCATTGTTACCGTCGTTACGGCTGCCAACGATTGGCAGAAAGAAAGGCAATTTGTGAAATTGAACCGCCGAGTAAGTCTCCTTACGGTTTACTCCATGAGCTTGCCTAATCGTAAGGTAGAAAAATGACCGGGAAGTTAAAGCGATCCGATCCGGAAAATCTGTTATGATATCTGTTTTTGACATCACAGTCGGCGACATTCTGCATCTAGAGCCGGGAGATGCTGTTCCAGCCGATGGAGTATTCGTCAGTGGACATGGAGTCAAGTGTGACGAATCTTCCGCAACTGGAGAATCCGATCAAATGAAGAAGACCAGTGGACACGAAGTTTGGCAACGAATGGAAGACGGCACTGCGACCAAGAAGTTAGATCCTTTTATCATTTCCGGAAGTAAGGTGTTGGAAGGAGTCGGAACCTACCTGGTTACCAGTGTCGGCCCCAATTCCACCTATGGCAAGATTATGCTCTCCTTACAGACATCCAACGATCCGACTCCATTGCAAGTGAAGCTAGGAAAAATGGCCGACTGGATTGGCGGTTTGGGCACAGCGTAAGTGGATTATATCTGCTATTTCTAAGCATATGAACGTTAACACTATTTTAGTGCCGCTCTTCTTTTGTTCTTCATCCTTCTCATTCGATTCCTTGTGCACCTGCCTGAGAATACCGGTACACCAGCAGCCAAGGGTAAGGAGTTCATGGAAGTCATGATCGTCGCAATCACTGTGATCGTCGTGGCAATTCCAGGTAGGCCGAATTCACCCGCCCTTATGATTGCTTTTATCTAACATAAATCATAGAGGGACTTCCTCTGGCTGTCACTCTTGCCCTTGCTTTCGCGACAGCTCGCATGGTCAAAGAGAACAACCTTTGTCATGGATCTTACGCGCATGCGAAACCATGGGAAATGCAACCGTTATCTGCTCCGATAAAAACTTGGCACTTTTAAACTTCAGAACAAAATTGACTGGTTG